ACTCTACAGCAGTACTGTGCTGCCTGGCTGATGCCAGAGTTGGAAGGCTTCCTCACTGCTTAATTATTTTTACTCTTGAACCCTAGTGCTATCCCATAGCTCAGCGTTTGTGGTTCTGTGTGTTTAATTTGCAAAGCTCTTCGTTTCACTAAACGAAGAAAAAAAGATTTCTCAGCGCAGTAGCTCGTGGGCATCCATTACTCCATAGACAGCTGGTGCTGTTTAACAAGTGAGGCTGACAGCGTTTGGAGCTGAGTGTGCACACATCTTCACGGACACTTGTGGCTGCGTGTGCTCCAGATGGCACTTCCAAATACATGTAACTTCATGAACTGACTGGTAAATCAACTCTAATTGATTGCAAGTTTTAAACGGAGTAAGTTTGAAACTGTACAGACAAGGATTTCAAAGCTGAGCTGCTCTGGAGTTATTTGCCTCAACTTCACAGGGGAAAATCCATCGGGAAAGCATGGGATGTAAAAGAGTGCTCTTGTTTGCGTTTTCTCGCTTTGATTTAAAGATGTAACTTGCTCTTTTGAATTTCTCTTGGGCTGGGAGCCAAACTGTACTCCCTTGAAGACGATCACAAAGCAAACTTCATTGGAAATGGGATTGGGCTTCCAGCATGGAAAATAGCAATTCAAAAGAACTCTTTTTGGAGATTTATGAGCATATGAAAAGAGGCAGTTACAATGAGTTGTGTAGCTGTGTAGAAACTGTAATTACAGTGATTTCTGTGGTATTCAGAGGTAACTATATTTCTTCACTGTTGTGCAGGATGCAGCAGTCATCCTTGCCAGGATAGGGTCCCAAAATTCCCTTTGGGGTGTCCTGACCATTGTTTTCCATCTGGTACTAGGCCTCCTGTCATCTGTAAGGGGAAAGGCAAAGTGAGAGTGCTGGCCCTACTGGGAGCAAAGTGCTGGGTGTGCAGTTATATAGTTGTCGTGGTTGGAGCAGAGGAGGCATTCCCATCTCCCCTCTAGCTGTTCGCTTGTGCTGCTATTCACCCTGGTGTTGGTTTTGATGTTTTGGGCCGTGCTGTGAACTAGGTCATGGAAAGGATCCAAGACAAAAGCATGGCAGGGGGGAGAAAAGGGATTTTTTGTTTTGTTTTCCAGCAGTGCTGTTTGCTTGCTGAGAATTGTGTTGACACAACCGAGAGTGGTGAACCGTGGTGCGGAGGTGTAAGCTACTTACACCAGCTTTCTTGTCAACGCTGAAATACAGTGCAACTGTACCCTCAGGCTGAAGGAGCTTTGTTTCACACAGGGCCAGAAGCTCTGCAAACAGACCATGCCTTCAGTGGAGTCCTGTGAGATGTAATGATCTTTTGTGAAGCCGTTTCAATTGGCTAAACTGGACTCTCAATTCACTCTTGTTTGTGAAGGGATGAGGCCCCAAATGATGGGTCTGCTGCTTTACACCAGCACAGTTGTCCTTGCCCTGAGGGGTAGGGTAAGAATTATCATTAACAGTGGTTTAGTAGTGGAGGTGTTTAAAGACTGTGCTTAGTTTGGATATGGTTGTATTATGAAGGACACATGAGCACTTGGTCTCTAGCTTTGCTCAAGCTCTAGTGGTGGGCACTGTTGGGGTGGTGACTAATCCAGGGTTGACTTCTGCCTGTGCCGTTGAAACAGCTCCAACCCAGAGATGTAGTTTAGCATGTTAGTTACCTTTTGTTGTGTTCTTTATCTCTTCCACAGTAGTTTCAGAAGTTTTTCTGGGGTAAGGCTGCTCCCCTTTCTGCTGTAAAATCAACCAGGAGGTGGGTAACCTGCTTGGCTATGAGGTGTGTGTGTTTGGACTGTGCTTCTCCCTCCCTGGTTTCTTCGTCTCATCCTGCTCAGACTGGGAGTGATGTGTAGCTAGCAGCCCAGGCTATCCTTTGTTGGGCAAATCTAGGAAGCCATCTTGACAATTAGCCTTGGCTAGGCACAGGACAAAGTGAGTGGTGGTCTTTTTTTTCCAGCTGAGGTTGGGCAGATGGATTTTGTTCCTGGCAGCCCTGTAAGTGCTTTGACAGGAAGATCTGTTTGGCCACTGGTGTGTCCTGCATCTAGAGCAAGAAGGTGGTGCAGAGTCCCCAGATTGATCATAGATTCATTTACCGTGGAAAAGACCTCTAAGATTACTGCTTTGACAGTGATCCAGGAGACTTAATGTTTTTTGGGGGCTGCCTTGTTGACTTTTCACAGAGCTGTGTCAAAACCGTTGCTCTTGTTTACACAGAAAATGAAAGTTGGCGTGATCCAGCCTGCCCTGACGTTCCTGTGTTGGTCTTCCCATGAGTTTGCTTTCTCTGCCTGCTGCCCAGCACTGCCTTGCTTCACCCACCATCTAAGGGGCACTGCTTGTTTGTGGTTCCTGTCTAGGCAGCCCGAGCATTTCCACAGCAGTCTCTACCTGCTGAAATGCTCTCTGATGCTTCCAGAGAATTGTGACCCTGTGCTGATGGGGTGAGAGGGGTCAGAAATCACTGTATATGCTCTGATTCTTTTGTCTGAGATTTGGGAGGAAATTCTTTTATGTGGTTAGAGGAAAAGGCCGGGAGTTTATACCTTCCCAGAAGCCTAGGAAAAATGCCTAACTCTTAGGTGATGTATGCCAGCAGATCCCCTGGCTTTTCCTAGTCCTATAATGTAGTGGTATGTGTCTGTGAAGATAGTGGTTATTCTCAAAGGGACTCCAGTAATATCACAAACAGTGGTTTAAGCCTATAATATTTGTTGTCACCTCTTGTACAACTGAGGGTGTTTCTGGTTTGTAATGCCTAATGACAGCCAAGTCATGTGTAGCCAGCTCCTCTGTTGGTATCGTAGTGCTTTCTGAAGGTAGGGGGGTGATGGCCTCACCCGCATTCATCAGAGAAAGACAGACACAGAGGAAGGATTTTTCTGTGGTTGCCTAGCAGGACAGTAGAGGTAAAAATCAGCTTTAATGAGTCCCAGCCTATTACTGGAGCCATAAGCTACAGGCTCTGTGCAAGTCTAGGGAGTTAACGAGCGTTAACATCACATATACTAGGCTGGGGGATTTTTATTCCTCTTACTATAATGATGCCATTTTCCAGGCTGTGCCTTGGCTTTATGTTTCACTGTTTTAAAATCCATCCTCATTAATTTCCTCCCAAAACCAGGTCTTATGTTCCCATCCTTATTTGTCCTTTCTATATTCTCTGTTTCCTTTAAGGAGTTTTCTCAAGGTACGATATTCACTTAGAGCTTGGGAATTCCTGTAGACAAAAGGCCCCCACAACCTTCTTCTTTCCAAGAGTCCTGGCAAGCCCAAGTGTTGTGCTAATACCTGCAGCTCTGGATGTAGCAGGGATGCTTCTTTACTTCATTGCAGATTGCACCACCAGCCAAGGAACCCTGTGGGAAAGAAGCTTCATGTTTTGGCACAGCTTGCATGTAGTAGAGCTCTGTGCTCTGTTACAAGCTTTTCCAGAGGTGTTAGTGGAGGAATCTTGTGGCTGGCAAGAATAGTTGGCCAAAGTACAGTTTCTGTTGTTGTCCCTCTGTCTTTGGAGAGGAAGAGGGCCGAAAGCAGTGGTTGCCTCTTTTATTGCTAACAGCTTTGTAAACTGCTGAGAGCAGAAAATACCAGAGGGATCTGATTTAATTTTAAAGTGGTCTTTTGCCCACTCTGAAAGTTACGGCATGGCTGCAGTCCTGTGTTGGCTGAAGGAAGCAGCTGTCTGGGCAGGAGGCATGTGAGAGTGCTCCTGCCTGCCAAAGGAGTGTTGGGCTGTGCCAAGGTACCTCTGCCCATAGCTGCAACCCTTCCCTCTTCACCGTTGGCATGCATTTCCACAAACTGGTGACTAACTTCCTAACCCCTCCTTTCCATTTCTCTTCTCACCTAATGCAGGATGTGGGTTTGGAAAGTGGGATGGTCTACCCTTCTTCCCCACAGGGCTCAGGGGTTTTGACATATTACTGTTGGAAATAGTTCTGATGTTGCCTCGCTCCTGTTCCCCAAAACATGACCCCCTTCTGCCCTTTACACGTGTGACTTAAGCTACTGTTCCAAATGAAAGTACATTGTAACAAGTGTTGGCCCATATAAGCTAGATGTGCTCTCTAATCCACTCTCCCCAGTGTTATTAGTACGTGTATATATAGAGGTGATTTTTAATAAAATTCAGTTCTTCAAGGCTCAAATTAGCTTGTGGAGGCAAAGGTTACAAAGAGAAGGAGATGTTCGTGGTGCCATTGATCGTGTAGTAATAATGCTTGTAGAATGGGCACACCTTGCAGTTGTGAAAACAAAGCACGTTCTGACATGGTGGTCTGATCCTCGCCTGCATTTCTGCTAGGACAGTTGCCCTCACCCCCACCCCTTCCCCCTATATATAGGCTATAATGCTGCTGTTCTGAATCTGGGGTTATTTGGTCTGTATGCTACACGGGTGAAGAGATGGGAATGTGAAAGCCAAGCCTGGTCCTTTTTCTGTGGGTGAACTTTGGTATTTAGGCTGCTGAGCATTCTCCAAGTCAGTCTTTTCTAGGTGACTTACTATGTTTCTTCCAGATTTTAGATGAATGGGCTAGACTCGACAACACAGAGATACATTGTGAATTTATTTAAAGCTCTACAAATTCATGCATTTCACTTGATTGGAAAGGAAGGCATCAGCCCGGACAAGCTTGCAAATTGGGCACAGTGTGATGAGTGGTGAAATGTGACTGGAGTGAGGGAATTGCTGCAGTAGGAATGATGTCTTGCTTTGCTTAGGATGCACTTCCATGCCTGTTTCTCTTTTCTTAGGTCGATTGTGAGAAGCCAAGCACCCTCCCTCCCCTCCCCTCTGAGAGGATTTCTTTTAAGCAAAGCTGACTCAATCTCTGAGGACCAGACCTCACTGATGACTGGGAAGCAAAGAGTACCCAGGAAAGCACTTTTACCACGGACAGCTGCTCCTCAGGAGCACCAGGAACTCATCTTCTAAATAAAATCTGTGCCCCTTCCGTGCAGACCCGATGTCTGCTGCAATGGATACAGAATCAACATATTCGGGATACTCCCACTACTCAGGTCACTCCAAAAAAGCTCACAGACAAGGGTAAGGAAATGTTTCTTTTTAATTACATACCACTCTAAGTTAGGACATGTCCTATGGAAAAAAACTTTAAGCCAAGATGAAATCAGTGGGGCCATAGCTCTGGAACAGATACATAAGGAGAGTCCACATGAGGAACACAGGGAGGAGACTGGAAGCTGCTAATTCGATGATATTCAATCTGTTGGATGTATGCTGAGTTATATATGGCCAGAAAGACTGCGATAGTGCTAGCAGAAGGAAAAAATCACTTCACTCTCCTCTTAAAGTGTGGGGAAACAGTACAGTCTCTGGGGAGAAGATGTGTTAGACTTCCTAAAGTGATAATTGCCAGTTGTTTTCTCTTCTGATGCTATTTCTTTATTGTGTAATAAGGTTTCCTGTCTTTCCCCACCATCCTCCTGACTACTCTGTTGATGGTGTGTTGGGGGTTTTTTTAAATGGAGTGGTACTTGGGTCCACAACAAGTTCTTTATCAGCATTGATTGGATTAGAAGCCAGGCTTTTCTGAACTTGAATAGCAAATCCTCTGTTGTGGTAGTTCAACAGCCTCAAAACCCGACTCTTCTGAAACTTGTGGTTATTTGGGAGCATTTTCCTTTTTCTTTTTTTGTTTTCCTTGCATCATCGTTAGTTTTACATGCAAAATGTGTGCCACTTAGTTTTTGCAACTTACTACTGAGCTGCTCGGACATAATTTTGCATTTCGGAAGCAATTACCCTGTGTGGTTGGAAAAAGAATTCTTCCATGAAATGCAGTCTCTTTGCTTGCAGTCCAGCTATTGAGTAAAACTTCGCTTGTTTGCCTTTTTTCCCTTCTTTAACACCCCACCCCCAAGGCACACTGCCCTTATAAACTTACAATGTCATGTGGAAAGATGCCTTCAGTGTTTCAAAAACAACATAAAAATCCTAGAGCCTCTTACTATGAACTGGAAAAAGTCTCATCCCAGGAAACTTTTGGGCTTTGGTAATTCCAAGAGAGAGGCAGTGGAGAGGGCAGAGCTGGGACACTGGATGCTCATGAGGTTTAAGCTGGTCCCTGGGCACAGTGAGGGTCTCTGGTATGAAGGCTGCTTTGCTGTCCCATGTAGGTTGGGAGAGGAAAATATTGGTGATCAGATTGGTAGGGCTTAATTCATCTTGAGACATTCTCAGATGAGAAGCTGTGAGGTCTGCAAGGGTACTCTGGAAGTAAACACTAGCCTGGTACTCTTGATGTTCCTGCTCTCTTTGTAAGAGGTCAGCTTGGGGTTATTAACCAGTGGAAGTAACACTGTAGGACAGTTGGTGAAGTTTAAGCTTGTAGATGAAAAGACTCTACGTTGCAGGAGCTAAAGCTGTATCGATTAATTTCTCGTGTTAACCGTGCATGTCTCTGTGAGATACTTTATTGTAGGGGGAGAACTGTGTAGAGCAGTTAATCCTAAATGGAGTTGCCAGTCGTTTGGAGAATGCAGGCTTCCATTTCAAGCACAGCACTGACAGAAGCTGTTTTAAGAGAACATGAGGTGGTGGGCATGTACCCTGTTTTTCCCCCTCTGTTCACTGAGAGGGTAGTCTGTCCCAGTCTCCAGGCTATAGACTTCTCTGGGCAAGGTCCCTTTCTACTTCTTCCAAAGCCTGTTTTGTCACAGATTGAGTCAATGTTGATCAAGAGATGGGCAAGCTTGACGACAGTTTAATGCTTAGGGCACCTGTTACAGGCAGAGGTGTAGTGCATTCCAGGCCCTGCTCTGGAAAATAACCAGTAACATTGTTCTCCTCTTGCTCTGTTTGGAAAAGGAGTCGGGACAGACACAAATCACCACGAAGCAAAGATGGCAGTCGATCTGAGAAGTCCGTCACTATCCAGACACCTCCTGCAGAGCCACTGCTTGGGAATGATGCCTCTCGGGCAGAGGAGGGCCAGGTAAGGAAGGTGTGAAAGTGAACATGGAGTGTATTTCATGGAACAGAGCATATGGCTTATTGGCACGAGTGAGGAAAAAACAGCAACGCGGCATTGCTTCCATTCTGTTTAGTAAAGAATCGTGACTTAGTGGGTACCCTTTACTTGTGCATAAAACCAAGGTCTCAATCAGTTTTCTTTTCCTGAGAGCATGATTTTTTCATGTGCTGCTGATGTGACTGCTTCCAGGGCACTAATTTGCCTCTGTCTCCAGAGCATCATCTGTCAAGCTCAGTAGAAACATCTGTTTCCATCATCTCACTGTGCTTTATTCAGGTCAACCTTTTCACCTGTATGTATATTTTAGTTTTTAAGCAGGATCTTTTCTAAGTAATCATGTAAAGCACATTAGAATCAGGATTC